CTACGCCACCCCTGAATGCCAGTCCAGGAGGTGGTGGTACGGGGAGGGGAGGGGAATGGCGGTACGGGGTGGATGGGGCGGGGCGGGGCATCTAGTCTGGGGGTGGCAGCGGTGGCAGCCCGGCGCGGGACGCGCGGGCGCAGCGCGTGGGCGAGGGGACGCGGTTGCCTAGCAACGAGCGGCGGGCACGAGGACGAGGCTGTGCTTGTGCTGCTGCTGCCTCTGCTGCTGCCTCTGCTGCTCCGCTGTCGATCGCTTTGCTCTCCGCGCCTCGCCCCGGCCCCGGCCCCGGCCCCCGCGGCCGCGCCGCTCACAGGCCGGCCGAACCGAACGTGGTGAAGTCTGTCGAGTCGCTTTAGTCTAATTAAGAAGGTTGAACGGGGGGTTGGGGTCGGGGGGCGGAGTCGGGCGCGTGATGGAGGGGAGGGGGGAGGCTCTCCACGCCAGGCTAGGCGCCGCCTTTGATTTTGGCCTCGCGCTGATGGCATTAGAAGAGGGTGGAATAGAGTGGGGAGGGGGTAAAACGCTGCAGGCATCCCCATTATAAGAACCCCCTGGAGGAAGGTGCTTCCCTCTCGTACTACACACATGACACTCAAAGTGTGCACGATGTCGTCTATTTCGCGCTCGGCTGCGACCTGCACTGTTGACATCACTCTGGAGCTTACGATGCACTGGAGGGTCGCGGGGGCTGCACGTACCTGCAGGTGGTCGAGCAGGGTCTCCAGTCCCCGGTCGCTGACAGACGAGCAGCGAAGGCTGAGCGAATGGATGTGCTTCGAGGCGGCAGGGAAGGAGGTGACGAGGTCGAGGGCGTCCTCGTCCGTGGCACCCAGGAGGCAGACGGCGTGGAAGCCGCGGCGCACCAGCGACACGTAGAGGCGGTCGCGCTCTTGCTGGGTGCAGCGGCCAGGCCGCAGCTCGGCGCACCGCAGCACGGGCAGCAGGCCGGCCCAGTGGCGCGGCGACCGGTAGAGCGTGTCCCTCCAGCGCGGGCACACCTGCGCCAGCACGCGCTTGTCCCCCGGCGAGAGGTACTCGAGCAGGCGCAGGGCGAAGCCGAAGCGCTCCTCCAGCAGCACCTGCTCCCACGTGGTGGGCACGGGCACAGCGGGCAGGGTCAGGCGGCCGCGGGGCGCTGCGGCGGGGCCCCTGGTGGGCCGCGGCGGAGGCATCGGCCCCGTGCGGCTGCGGCGCCGTGACCCGGGCGTCCCGGCGGGCACGGCGGCAAAGGCCGCGCTCTCCGTCGACGTGGAGGACACTTTGGCCTTGCACAGAGACGGCAGGCGGGAGGGCTTCTCCGGGGCGTGCGCCGAGTGCGGTTGGTGCTGCGGGCTGCCCCCGTGTACGCCGCCGCTCAGCGGGCCGCCGCCCCCGCCGCCGCCCCCACCGCCACAAAACACGTTGGTGACCCGCTCCATGACGCTCGCCTTCGGGGACCTCGGGGGCTGAGGCGCCGAGGCATCGCGCTGCTGCTGCTGTTGTTGCTGCTGTTGCTGCTGTTGCTGCTGCTTACTGCTTCCCCGCAGGCCCAGCCCCGTGATGCGCTTGCTGAGCTCGGCCGAAGCCCGCTCCACCACGCCTTGCGCCGAGATGGACATGTTGAAGCCCTGCAGGCTCTCCAGGCAGCACCACCAGCGCACGCCGGCGGGCACGCCGACGGGTAAGCCCTGCGGGACGCTCCGTCAAGACGACGAGGGGCTGACTTCGGCCCAGATTCCGGTGACCGGCGCGGCTCCTGCCTGGTGCACGTGCACGACCGTGGCCGCGCCGCCGGTCGTGGCGTCGACCTGGGCCACTGCGCCCGCGCGCGCGCCGCCCCCTAGGGGGCCACCACCTCCACCACTACAGCTGCCACCTGCCCCTGCAGCTGCGCCTGCAGCTGCTGCCTCGGCCTTAGGGAACAGCCCGTGAGGCGGAGGCAACATGGCCCTTCCCTCGCCCTACCGGTCTAGGCCCGAGGCCCCCCGAGACCCCTCACATGGGGCCGGGTTCGACGAGGGCGCCCCGGACGGCGGCCACCGCGGGTAGGGTCGCTGGCGGGGCTGCTAGCGGGGCCACACGACGTGCTGGCTCCTCGCTCCCGAGGCTCCTCGCGGCTCCGTGCTCGCGGCTCCGTCCTCGCGGCGCCTCTTGCGGCGGCGAACTGAATCGAGTGGCGGTGCGGTGCCGCGGTGCGACCGTGGCGGCCCCGGGGCCCGGGGGGTGGAGCCGGTGGAGCTCGGGTGGGCGGGGCGGGGTGGCAGGGGAGGCGGGTATGAGCGGAGGGCGCCTCGGCTGGGTACACGGCCAGCGCTGTGCTCCACACCGCCGCGAGTGGAGCGACTCGGGCTCGGGAGGGCGGCAGCAGCGATCGATATGGTGTCCGGGGAGCGGTGTAGGGCTGGGGAGAGGGAGAGAGAGAGGGTGGGTGGCACGGGCACGGACACGGCGGGGGGACAAGGCACGGCGACGCAGCTACAGCGGCGCTTGCTGGCCGTGCCGTCTTTCCAATCCCCGTCCCACCCACTCGCGCAGGCCAAGGGTGAGGGTAGGGCGGTGGAGCTAGACCAGGATTCTAGGCTAGACCACCAGGTGTCACGGTGGAGGGTTGTTGGTGGGACCAACCCGACCAACCCCTGCCTGCTGGGCTCGTTGGGCTACCTCTAGTCCTACGCTACCTCCAGTATGCAGACGGTGTCGAGTGGTTCCCACGAGACCATGATAGATACACTTCCGATATAGAATTCTTTAACGATTTTTCACAGAGCTTTTCCTCTGTTTGAGGCAGTAAGAGGACAAACAAAAGTAATGCAGAAACATACAGGTACAGCATGTCCCATTTTTAATCAAAACTTCGGCAAGTTACAAGCCCCCTCAAAAACACCACTAAGAATGCAGCAATTAATAAAAACAAACAGTGGTGAAAGCCATTACATTTATACACCCTCTCATGACAATGCAGCATGAAATTTTTACCACAACTTCCTGCAGGGTTATTGAAAGTGTACCTCTGTGGTTGTGCTGAATTGTAAATGTACTGTTATGATAGCTTATGGTTTCAACTGCTGAAAGTTTTTATGTACTGTAACTCATTATTTAATTATTGTCAGCTTGAAAACCTTGCTTTTCCAACAACAATAATACAGTATGTACCATGAAGACTGATAACAGAAAGTATTTGAGAATATCAAAACTTAAATCACAGATAACTTGACAGTTATGGAAAGCATCTAACAATCATAATGATATATGATCATTTGCTTAACAGTTGACAATACACACATCTCACATCAGGTGCGTAAAAAAAAAAGAACAAAATACAACAAACAAAAAAGGAAAACAAGTACTGAATCCAGAGTTGGTTGAAGGTTACTGGAGATGATTACTGACAACAATAAATCCAAATACAAACTTATTATATTTATTAGCACTATCAGTGGTCACAATGAAAGTTTGTTTTCGGCAACAATGGTAAAACATTTCTTTCAAAATGAAGTTTATCATTATTATTAATACAAGGAATAATATTAATGAAAGTAAGGCACAACTTGTAAATCCACTCAGGCATTTTAAACCTTTCCCAGGCACTTTTCTATGCTGAGGTCATATGAAAAGCCTTGTACCATTCACATCATTACATCCAAGAAAATTTCAATGACAAGTAGGTCATTTATCAAAGGTTTTGGTAAATCAAAATCACATCACATAAAAATAAGTTATTTTCTAGTTCAAAATTTCATGACAATTAGAAAATTTTATCAACTGGCTTTTAGTTGCAAAAGTGTTACAATTTTAGGCAGGTACAACTGTCAGTAGAAATGAAGTATCTACAGAGCTTAAGAAAACTAAGTGCAAATCTTATGATAATGTCAAACAGTACTTTTAATTTCCTTCAGGTAAAGGTTTCCTGATACTGCATTTGTGAACAAAGGCGATGGAGAAAAGGAAAACAAGATGGGATTGATGAGGACCCAGATGACATAAAAATGTACCTTAAATTACATTCTACCTCCTCTACTAACTGAATAGGTATGAAAACACTTTGTGCATTAATAGATAAGATAAGAAAAAATGAAGGAAAAATGGAAGCCTTGATGAAAGAAATAATTTGGAATGAACTTAAATCTGGTTCACACAAATTAAACCCCACCACCCTGGAAATGTTTAAAGCGGAAGGTAGAATAATTATAAAGTACATAAAACAATGAAAAACCCAGTGACATTTCTATGGCAGCATTTAGATGCTAAACAGACACCAAAGTCCATGGCAGTAATTGGTATCTTTGGAGAAGCTGTCATGATTCACAGGAGATGAGCAATTTTATCAATTTCTTTAGCTAAAATAATAAAACTCTAGCACAAGAGACAGGGCAGAAGTAGGTAGTGACAAATGAACAGCATAGTACTGTTCGGAGAAAAAGAGCACAGCACATTTTGAACAACAAAAACAACAAAGATGTTTAACAAAAACCAAAACTTCAAAAAGCAGTGCCCCATTATTCACAGACACACAGGCAAAGCTTATGGTAAGGTCTAACCTATGACTACTTTGATGCATAAAAGTAAGTTAATTTACAAATTGAATGGAAGCTATTAAAGATGCTGTAGAAAAAAAAAGTTAATGCTTACAGAAACCGCGAAAATTAAACCTTTACATGGGCCTGCAAAAATTAGTTCATATTCTTAAAAACACCTGAATTGTTATTACATTTTCACAGGAGTTGTAGAGCAACACACACTTTCAAGTCAAACATAGATAGATTGTGTCTGATAAACATAGAACCCATAGGCAAAATCAAACAAAATACTGTTCATGGTAACAGGTACATACCAGGAATACCGTCAACATCATTGCCTTTATCATATTGGGAGACACGCAATTCTGTAAAAAGAGAAATTCAAGTCGTAGGAAAACAATTTTTAGCTGTTTGGTAAGACAACTGATACCTTTCTTTTCTGTTATGCCTTGACAGTTTACTCAGCAATGGACACAAAATTTTAATAGTAATTGTAAGACAAGTTTAATCTAAGAAAGACACACTAAATTACATCACAATTCAAAAACCATTTCAAAATATAGGGATCTCTCCTGATGATTAAATGTGGTTTCTAAGGAACACTACCTTGTATGAAAAGTGACAAATCTGAATAAAGAAGACTGTTCCAGAAAGTGCCATACCACAAATATTTTGTTAAGATAACAATTATCAAGAAAAATGATCTTTGACTGATTTTGATTAAATCTTGCAAGACCTCATTTCTGTATAATATTGGTTTAGATGCAGAGCCAATGATGGAAAGGTACGTTCATAGTACCTTAATAACATAAATTCAGAGTCTAATTTAGGTCTTTGGTTGCCTCCCGAGTACATCACATGAAATGACAGGTAAAACTAGATTGTGATCAAACACAGTGACTGAGGTGACTTTTACTTAAATCCAACACAATTTTGAAGCAATACTCAAAAGTAAGTTGTAGCACTCGAAATTCTTAATAAAATTGTAGGAATTTCTAAACATCATATGTTTACTAATAACTTATCACCAATACCACTGTCCAAAACAAAAACAAGGCAAGACCAACAAACTTTCCTCATGCAAAACTGGATATGATAGACTGCAATAGATCACATTTACTTCATTATCTAACCTCTTCATAAAAAATAAATCTCACGACATACTAGTGGGAGAAGACCAAAGCAAATATGTTGCACAAAAGGATTACGTAAGGTTCACCTCAGTCATTCGGTCTAATCAATAACAACTGTAAAGTTCACAGATAAGGCCCACTTTGTGAAATACACCTGCGTATAACACTATTACAAAATTGACTCCAGCAGTACAAATACTAACTCTTAAAGATGAAAATAAACCAAGCATTTGTGATCTATACCTCAAGGAAGGTTAGTGTACAAAGTACAGGTAAAGAATCATATCACAAAGGTTTTTGTACACAGCTGCTCATCAAGATATCTTAAGACTCCTCACAAATTAACATTTGCTCATCCTAATGAATTGACACAGTCAACTCAAATATATACAGTGGATTTAACTGACAAAGCAATAAAGCTGCACCAGCAAGTTTTGTGCAAAATTGTTGGGAAGCACATAATAAGGAATATTTGAAATTACAGTATTAGCTTATTGCTCTTGAGTTGTGCATTATGGAACCATACAAAACAGGAATATGATTTGATTACTTTTAGGCTGCATTAAATTTCAGTCTGTGTACATCAGTTCTGAATGTAGACTACTATCCACATAGATTCTGAAAATATTACTTTAAAAAGAGGGAATAATCATCGATAATCTTTCCATAGTCCTCATAACCTTACAGTTCCGTTGCTTTTGAGCATTGAAGTTTCCACAAACCGAAAAGCTTGATATCGACCTCATTTGAAGATTAAAGATTAAATTACATTCAGTTTGAAGCAATATGTGAAAAACTAAGAATTAGGAACATTGATAATAGCGTTCATGACCTAGCATTCAAGTAGCAACTGAAACATAAATTGAAATAAATTTTAAAAGGATTCAATTGAATATCTTAACTGACAGATGACAATAATAAAATTTGTGTAGAGCATTTAAGTTAAAAGAGAGAGACAAACACTGTACTGGTAATGTGACAAATATATAAAATACAGCACTCTTGCCTTAAAACTAACTTAACAATACAACAATAGAAGACAATTACTTTTGAAATCAGCATGCAAGAGCAACTGACATTCAGAACAGTGTGATGAGTTGATGTGCTGAAAAGCATTAACATGCAATCGCAACACACAATAGAACTCAAATTTGTTCATATGCCTTGCTTTAACTTTGGCTACTTAACAAGAGTTTCTTTGCACTCTTTTTACACTACTTTAAAACTAAGGACTTTTCACCAAATAAACCAGTGGTAAAACCACTTCAAACATTGACAATTTACCAAACACCTCTGTCAAACAAATACAGGAAAGGATGAAAAAAATTAAAAGAAACAGGCTATTTGAACTGATAATATCAGACTTTCCTAATGCCACACTATAATTTCTGATGAAAGAGAAACCAGCTAGAAAGGCCCCTAGATGCCATACGGTAATATGATCCTGTTTTCATTAATTTTGTAGAAAGAACACGTAAAACTATCTTTCAGCAGAATACTTTCTTTTTAAAAATCTACCATCACTTAAAAGGTGTTTGGATAAACAATACCACCATTCCAAAAATTTGTGCAAATAATTAAAAGGCAAACTTCAGAATTCATTAACTACTGAATTTCAGCACAAGTAACAAAACTATTCATAACCCAAAGACAATATACTCTGAAATAATTTGGGATTTAGCTACCAAAACTGATAAACAAAAGAAAACATACGATAATGGACATAGCTTGATACAAGGAAGAAAATGTGAAGAATGACAAAACGTAGGGCATCTTGTGAAATAACTTGTGTAGGCATAGGATGAGATGAAAACTTTTCTACTGGGAATTTTCCAGTTTCATAATAATGTTTTAACATCTCCTCTTTTTCAACCCAGCGATCAAACAGCCATTTGGTTAAGCCTTCTTGTTCTCTTGGAATCTGAGGGTAAAAGAAAGACAAAGTTTGAATTACAGATGAATATTGTGGGTTCTGAAAATTAAATGTGCTGCATATACGCCTCAAAGTCTTTGTAAACCTTGGAATAGCCATCAATTTGGTTATCCAAGGTTAAGCTCAATAACACACTAGCTGAACTTTGATTTGGTTGATTGGTTGTACCTCACATATTGCTTACATCTAGGAGCACATCCCAAATAATGGGGCTGACATCTATTTAGGTTCCTTCCTTGTGGAGGTAGGAATTTTCATAATAAACAATGGAAACAATGAACTTGTTGTTTAGTGACCACAGAAAATTGTCAAACTTTCAAAAGATTAAGAAGGAGGCGACTGACAAATGAACAGAGTGGAACTCAGTAATCATGAAATATGTTTGGTACATTTGTTCATAGAAGCTTGCCAAGCCAAAATAGATAATTTTAATTTTTTAAATTTAATTAAATGAGAAGCTTATCTGTATGTAGCATTCCTGATTACAAGGTAAGCAGTATGTTGGCTGAAAATAAGAAAATTGTCAATAGTTCATACTTACATCAGCCATATTAAAAACACGATAAAATAAGTAGGTCTTGCAGGGTTCTCGCCATCCAGTGATAATTGTAGGAAGGTCCAATGGTTTACCTTCTGGATAAGCTATGGTTAGGTCAAGTACCCAATTTATTAATTTAGGCCCTAAAAAATAAAATTTGATTGTAAAAACATGATAGTACAAAAAAACAGTGGATAGATGGTGCATAATTTTGTAATAAAGAATAATATTCATACCACTATGCAAACTAGATTGAGAAACGTGACTAATTTTGCTTGATGGTTGGTATGGCACTGCTAGTTCTTCCACAATGGCTTCCATGGCACCAGTTCTTGGAAGAGAAACATGCTCCAACACAGGCAAGTTGTTTTTTAGTGCATACCGTTGACTTGTTTCTCGTCTCTTTCGAAGAAACCCACCTTCAGGAAATAAAATCATCCAGTGACGGCCTAAGGCACTAAATGAGTTATGAAGATGGTCCCTCAGTTCCTTGAGACATTCATCTCGTTTTCCTCTTCGTATCTGAAGGTAAAACAAATAGCCGTGATAAGTAAAAAGAATATGTAAAGAACATTTAAAAAAAATAGTGTTTTAAATAAACGGTAATACCTGTATGAAGAAGTCCTGATGCATGATGGATACTATTCCAAAATTAGTGAACTTGAATGCTCGATCCATTATCCACATAATGTTTGGTAAAATATTTGGTTTTGCATTGTATGCTGCCATTAGCATAGGAACATCAGCTGTTGATTGATGATTTGCAATGATAAGAGCTGGACTATGCAAGCAAAGACGGTAATCATCCCCAAGCTCAACAACTGCAGAAAGGGCAAGGAAATATTACACCATATACACCATATATACTTTTCACTTCATGCTTCACACTTTTCATGAGGGTTGTAAACAAAAAATAACTGAAATTCCACAGTAAATCTTACCATCATAGCCTGCCGACCAACTCCACATGCTAACCATTGCAAGAAGCCAATGGAAAAAAAGGCCTTCGATTCGCCAAAAAAGTTCAGGGTGGAGAAATCGTAGAGGTGTCAGAAGTAACATCCAAATCACATAGGTGGGAATTGTGTATGCATTATTCACAAGCACAAAACAAAGGCGCAGGAAGCCCTTGACCCAGACTGTCAACCTAAACAGCAGTAAAAACAAGTACAAAAACATTACATTTTATAAAAAAGGAAAAACTGTGGTGAAAGACTGCGATAAGTTCAATGAATTAACCTTGACTGCTCCATTGAAGAATAAGTGAGACGAGGGCAGTGTGTATGAACTAACAATTTACTGATTGATGGAAGGCATTGATAACTGTCAACTCTTTGAAAATCACCTTGTATCCATTTCAACCTGATGAATCAAAAAAACATAATATAATAGAATGGCATTATAGAATTGAGTTCCACTGTTCTCAAGTGAATTGCATATCATTAAAGCATCAAAAGTTAATGTTTTTTCAAAACAAAAAGAATATAAAGATATATATTCTTATAAAAGATTTTTTTTGGTATCCCCGTAATTAATAGACTTATAACAAATTCACACACAGACTGCAGGGGACGTAACAGAGAATTTCATATCTTAAAGAAACTGTCACCTTATGAACCACAGACTGACATGCAATGGTTTATTATGTATGGGGTCAGTAACATAACTGAAAAAAAGAAGAGATAATGTCAGAGAAAACAAATAAAAACGATAAAGTGGGCGAGATAGGACTTCAGTGAGGTTATGATGGTAGTTGAAAGATTGAACTTGTTTGATTAGAGACTATTCAGAAAGAAGTATGAGCCTAATAACTCAACTAGAACAAGCAAACGTAGAATTACAGAAGTTCTGATGTCGTAATCTATCAGGAAATACCTTCCTGTTGATTCGTTCGAGGAGCCTACGAAAGCGAAATCACCCCATGAGTCTTATGTTATTGTGAGTAACAGGGACAGAGACTGCATTTAAAATATTACTTAAGCGCTAGAAAATTAACAGCTTTATTGTCAAAACACGCCAGTACCCGTACACAATGGAGAAACTAAATATAAAATCACTTACAAGTTCTATTTCTCACATTAATCGGCAGAGAGCAGACACACTTTTACCGCCTTCCTTTCTGTCTGTAAACACATTTTCTTGACCGTACTGCCACTCGTAGCCGCTAGGAGCGCTAGTAAATGTGACTCGTAAAAAGAGCGACATCAAATCTATCTTATTATTAGCTTCGGGATCTCTTACTCTCAGAAGTGTGAAGGAAATGTAAGGCTTAGTTCGTATTTTCTGAATTAGAAGTGCATTCAGAGCGAATGGCAAATGTATCCGTCAATGCGGATGCGAATTCAACGCCACGCCGAGCGATTTAAATGTGCCGCGACACCTCCCCTACAAAACAAATGACTACTCTTTAATCACACAGCCTTGCGCTAAAAACAAAAGGAACGAAATTGTTTTGGGAAGGCAGTTGGAGTGACAAGCTTGGCGCCATTTTGGTTGCTTGGGGCACTTTTCGTGCAGTCTTGTTGAAATTTTTGGAAGCGTACGAAGCATTAATTTCACCTCCAATAATGGCAGACAATCAGGTCAGTTTGGTATTTTCTTCAACAGTTGCTTGGATTTTTGTATCTACCGATCCGTGGCGTAGGTTTAAAGAACTCAAGCTTTACTTTTCGTGCTCTAAACGCTGTTTGTTTCCTAGGAACAGAAACCTGACGCCGGCCCCGGGGATTCTAGCTCTGACTACATTAAACTCAAAGTTGTAGGAAATGTAAGTAAATCTAATACTTCTTCTGTCCAATTTTCGGGGGGCTGACTCACAGATGCGTGGGATTTTATGTACTGTGGTTATTTGCCTGTTTGCGTGCATTCGCACGTGTGAGCCCTAGCTTGGGCGTCTTTTGGCCCTTTGCTATTCGGCATACGCCGACATAGTGATTCTCAGCAAGTGCAAGTTCTCCCACTATTTCTTTTAATTTCTGATAAACCTGAGCTCTCGTGTTTTCGTTTTAGACTATGTGTGCTTTCCTTGGCGATCTCTTTGTTTTCGTTCGTTGCCCAACCCTTCCTCAAGGGTTATGTCACTCGTCCATTAGGCTGCTCCACAGGCACTTGCCTCGCAACCCTATATGTGACCATGTAGTTGGCACAGTTTTCTGATTTATCGCTGCATGTTTGACTATTTCTTTTATGGACCGTTTCAATTTTAATGTTGGGGCCTTGTGCTGTTGCAAATACTGTTTCAAAACACTTATTCGTTTTTTTGTTGTTTTTTTTAAAATATTTTTTTTGAGGGGGAGGGGAGAGTTGCTTCTTGTTCCAGTCCCAGATTATTGTACAACTGTTCAATATTTTTGAAGACTTCTTAATTTTCTTAAAAAAATTTACGCATAAGCAATTTAATATGCATCCATCTTATTTATCTTTTTTTTCTGCCAGGACTCAAATGAGATCCACTTCAGAGTTAAAATGACAACTCAAATGGGCAAGCTCAAGAAGTCCTACAGTGAAAGAGTTGTAAGTACCATTTGATAGATTTGATTGAATACTCTGAAATTATCTGTTCAGCACATAAAGTCTTAATTGTATGACATGTTTCCGTCCTTAGGGTGTTCCTGTTACATCTTTAAGGTTCCTTTTTGATGGTCGGCGAATAAACGACGACGAAACACCCAAGCAGGTATGTTACTCTCCAGGAATTTCTAAATTGCATATTGTGTAAACTTTTCTTATTACCAGTAATTCATACACATTTAATTTCTGGTTTGAATTATATGCTAAATTAACTTGAGATCTCAGGGCCAGTAGCTAAAAGACTATGCTACATGGTAGTATAGATCTCAAACATTGAGTTTTACATAGGTTTGGTGTTGGTGTCAGGTGGAATATTAATAATTTTACTTTCCTTGCAGTTGGAAATGGAAAATGACGATGTAATTGAGGTCTATCAAGAACAGACTGGTGGAAAATCTTGAATATCGCCACGCCATTGATATAAGTAATCATTATTATAAAGAATGTGCAAACCTTTTTTTCATTATTACTGCACTTGAAGAATTTTGCTATTTAAATTCTGTCAAATGTCACATTCCTCTACCTTAGTACCTAATCTGCTGGGTATTAAAGAATTTCTGATTTTCAGTTAGTGGGATGTGGTAAGGCAGCTTAATTGTCTGCCTAACAGATTCTTTTCTTTTTCCCAAACTGAACTAAAGTGCTGGTTTGTACATTGTGCTGTAGGGCACTTTTAAAATAAAACGAGTAAACCCTTCCTTAGCGTTTTCAATTACTCCCTTTAGTGCTAATTGTATTAATGCAGATGTTAGCTAATGGGTTTGAGGTATGCAGGCATCTCATGTTTTCTACAAAATTGTTTTGCTGTATCCTACTGTAAGGCTGAAGGCAACACTTTCCATGTATTGGAAAGTTCCTTAGAGTAAATTTCTCCACAATGTTGGATGTATCTTTAAGTTTTCTCCTAAGATTTTGATTGTATTGATCAGCTTGTGTAAAGAGCTCCTTTTAAATAAAAATCATGGAAACAAAACAATCTGATTTTATTGTGACCGTGTGAACTGACACACACCAGAGTAATGGAAATAAAGAAATTGAGTAGTGCCCAGTCTGGCAGCTACTGATGAAGACTTCATATGAAAGTGGAAAGAGTTGTATTAGCACTCAAAATACATGTAGTTATGAACATGTGCCTAAAAAAGAAAACACGAAAAGAAATCTGGGATGGATTGTGCTCGTCACGTGATCCGCTCCACCAACCAATGAACAGCGGAGCATCGCTCGCGTCGGCCGTGCTGTCGTGAGTTGTTAGAGAGGTTATGTTTTACAGCAGGAACACTCACTTTATTCGATAAACAGATTGGTGCGTTATTTTCCTTTAGTGTTGGTGTTGTTGGATCTGAAGTCTAGTCATTTGAAATGAATGTCGGTCAAATTTATCGGTATTCTTCCTGCGTTCCGAAACTAAAGGAGTTTCTGAAACCAATGTCAAAACCTAGTTTGTTACGATATTTTCGGAGTTCCAAAGTGTTGACGCATGGAGAATTCGAATATCAAGATCCCAAATCTGAAGAAGAAGTTGTGAATGTCACATATATAGATAAAGATGGCATATCCAATAATGTGAGGGGAAAAGTTGGAGATAATGTGTTATACCTTGCTCATCGTCATGGTATTGATATGGAAGGGGCTTGTGAGGCATCTTTGGCTTGCACAACTTGTCATGTTTATGTTGAAAGCGATCACTTGGACCTACTCCCAGAAGCCGATGACAAAGAAAATGATCTGCTTGACATGGCACCCTTTCTGAAAGAAAATTCAAGACTAGGTTGTCAAATTATTCTTACGAAAGAATTAAACGGAATTCAATTACAACTTCCGAAGGCTACAAGAAACTTTTATGTTGATGGACATAAGCCCAAGCCACACTAAAAACTAGCAGTGCACAATTTTGTTACTGAAGTGGCTTAATTTTCATCTGTTGAAATTATTGACCTGTATTAGTTATGATGCCCTAGTGCAATCTTAAAGTCAATGACTGCAAATAGCCAAAGCATCAAGTTTGTGAATGCAATATTGTGAATCAAAAGACAATTGTTAATCAATGCGCTTTATTTTCTTAACTCAATAAGTAGCATTGTTGCTAGACTTATGGGTGACTTGAAAGAAAGCAATTGTTATTTTATCTGTGATGCAAGTCCTTTTGATATGTTTTGTCTTATTAGAACAGCTAGTATGTCACTTATCAAAGCCTTATTTCTCGAATAAAAACTTGAGAAATGCATTCTTAAATTTTCTTACTTCGGTTCAATGCCAGCGCCAGCCATTAAGCCATCCATAACTGAGAATTCTATTTTATTTCTCATCTAAATTGTAGATTCTTTTTACACAAATACAAATTCAATTATTACATCACCACCACTTCTGGTAAAACTGATACTGATATTATTTTCATTTTACAAATATTGCATTTCAGAGGTCAGTAATGAACTGTTGAAATGAATGCCCAAGAGTTCTTCCTAAAGGCACAAACTTCTGCAGAGCTTGCCGTTCGTTTTGACACTAGCAATCAGTTTGCTGCAGCTTTATTTTACTATGAGGAAGCTGCTAGTAATCTACGCTATGCCTCAGAGCATGTGGATAATGAAGAACTTGCCGAAACCTGGCGTACCAAGGCTGTGGAGTACCATGATCGCAGCAAAAGTATTGAAGCACAGTGTAAGTGGATTGAGTGATAAGGCAATTTTCAACCACTATTATGTCTCTAAAATATCATTTCATCATTTCAGTGCAAGCTATGAGCCGCAGCACAAGTCAGTCAGAAGATTTGCAACACCTACAAAGATGTAGATTTTTACTAAATCAAGCCTTGGATGCAGATGAAGCTGGTTTAAAAGATGATGCTGTAGAATTATACACTCAGGCCGTGGAATTGAGTATTGAAGCTGTAAGCTAACACTTTCTCATTATTCTAAAAAAATTGCCTCCAATTGTCTTTGGAAGTCAAGATTAACTTGCCTGTTGATGAAGTAATTTATAACATGCTTTGTTGTAGAAAAAACTTACAAAAGATCCTGACCAGCAAAAGAAAATAGGTGTGCTACAAACTCAGGCATTGGAAAGAGCTGAAGAATTAAAAGGAATCCCTAAGCCTTCAGTAACTTCAAAAGCATCAACGGCATCTTCTCCATCTTCTGTAACCAACAAGCAGTTTTCTACAAGTACTGCATCTTCACCTGAAAAAAGTACATCCTCAGGTTGAAAAATCAATCTTCACTTCAATTATTTCATTATGAAATGTTTTCTGCTTTATCTTAATTGAATGTATTTTTTCAGGTCATGCCTCCTTACATCGTGGTTTTAGTGCACATTTAAAGATTGTTGGTTCTGACTCCTACACAGATGAAGAAAAACTAGTTCTATTAGCCACATCTAGAATCAATGCAAGAGAATATGTGCCATTCATGAGTATAGATCTGAAAGAAAAATTTCAGTATGCAATACCCTTTTCAGATAAAGATGGACCCTTGGCGTTATCGCCAAAGCAGAAAATGGCTTTTGACAAATGGGCTAGACCTCGTGACTATTGTGAAGATCCTGTTATGGTTTTGGGCAATGTTGATCCATACAGTATTAAGCAAACTGTTAGTCTTTCTTTATACCAATTACTGACCATTATTATTATTATTATTATTACTACTATATATGGTTTTAATTATTATTTTTTCAACTCTGATTGCTTGAAACTTAATGTTTTCAGATTGTGTCGGATTGCTCATTTGTTGCATCACTAGCCATAAGTGCTTTGTATGAAAGAAGGTTTAAGAAGAGACTTATTACTTCAATAATTTATCCCAAAAACAGACTCAAAGAGCCTGTCTACAATCCATTTGGTGAGTATTCCTTTAAAGAATAATAGGAGAACATCAGAAACAAGAATAATTTCCTTGATTTGTTCAACCTATTTTATGTACCTATTTATTTATGCAGGAAAATACATGATCAAACTTCACATTAATGGGGTACCCAGAAAAGTAATAATTGATGACTCGCTCCCCATGGGCCGACATGGAGAACTTCTTTGTTCATATTCTACCAACCGTAATGAGCTATGGATATCACTTCTTGAAAAAGCCTACATGAAAGTCATGGGGGGTTATAACTTTCCTGGTTCTAACAGTGTAAGTGACTTTAGTACCTTGTCTCTTCAATAGCTAAAATTACATAATCTTGAATCTTAAATATATTTTAAAACTTCCAGAACATTGATCTACATGCGCTTACTGGATGGATTCCTGAACGAAAGTCTATTCTTCCTAATGAAAAGGACTTCAACTCTAGTGCACTTTTTGATATGCTTCTTATGCATATTAAGGATGGAAACGTTTTAGCTACAGTAGCAACAGGTGAACTATCTGAACTTGAAGCAGAGAGAGCAGGGCTGGTTCCGACTCATGCTTATGCAGTTCTTGATGTGAAAAAAGTGAATGTAAGTTGATGAATTATCTAATCCTACTATAAAACTATGTGTGAAGGCAAATATTGTGTTGCTACTTTCGATTTTAATGTTTAACAATATTGATACCTGATTTCAGGGTGTAAGGCTCATGAAACTAAAGAACCCATGGTCCCATTTAAGATGGAGGGGAAACTATTCCGAGCTTGATACTGTTCACTGGACAAGAGAGATGAAAGATGCCTTAGATTTCAACCCAGATAGTGCTGCTATGTTTGACAATGGAGTTTTTTGGATAGACTATGAAAGTATCTTACGTTTTTATGATGTCTTCTACCTTAACTGGGATCCTCAAATGTTTAAATATACATATTGCATACATCAGTAAGTACTGATCGAAAGAAATACAGAATTATTGATTATTTTGAGGTGGTCCTCATAATCTTTTTTCAATTTTAAGATCATGGAAAGCTGGTACAGGTCCTGTGAAAGATGCCTATAACATTGGAGAAAATCCACAATTTCGCCTGGAAGTTGGTTCAGGTGAAGGAACTGTGTGGATTCTACTAACGAGACATATAACAAACATTCAGGACTTCAAGGATAACCGTGAATTCATCACTGTCCTGGTATACAAGACAGAGGGAAAACGAGTATACTACCCATGTAAGTCCCAAGTTGTCTTACCTTTGCAGCAAAAGAATTTAAAAACCAACCGCTTTTGTCTTCTTTTTTTTTTCAACAGATGATCCAGAGCCATTCATTGATGGTGTTCGAATCAACAGTCCTCATTACCTGTGCAAGATAAATTTATCTCCAACTAGCGCAAGAAAGTATACACTTGTTGTCTCACAGTATGAAAAAATGCATACTATAAACTACACATTACGTGCTTATGCAACATGTCCTTTCAAACTAGATCAGATCAAAAACCCCTATCTTCATTCTGAAGTGGTATGAACCGTTATATTATTCAAGCAGTTTTTAGATCCTTGTTTCCTTTTATTTAAGTACATATCAAACTATTTCAGGTTCGCGGGCAATGGACAGGTTCAAGCGCTGGTGGCTGTGGAAACCATCCTGCAACCTATTTGCTCAACCCTCGATACCAGGTTGTTCTTGAATCAGTCCACAGTAATAATAAAATCCTATTGGATTTGAAAGGTCCTAAACAGTACCAGATGGGTTTGGATCTGATATCCCATGACTCCAATTCTAGTAATGTCAGAAAAAGATCTTCTGGTGTATACAGGTAGGAAGAAGTTAATTTTGAAGACAAGTAGGTGCTATTACTGAGTCTTAATTTATTTTGAATACTTTGCAGGTCTGGTTTTGTAGCTTTTGAGGTGGAAGACTTACCACCCGGAAAGTATGACATAGTACCAAGTACATTCCTCCCTGCTCAAGAAGGACCTTTCATTCTTACATTTAAATCATCCTGCCCATTCAAGTTGGGGAAAATCCAATAATTGTTTTGTAGATATTTGTTTGGAATTCAAAACTTGCACTGTTATCTCTTATTAACTCTTATTATCATGCAGTATGACATATGTTTGTTGTTTCCCTTTTTTAAGCACTTTATAATGATATATCTAATTGTTAACTCTATCTTACAAAATATTTTTTTTTGTTTAAAAAAGTTGTTAATTTGTTTGAATCTGAAAGTTCCCCTTTTCTAAACTTTTACTCACAGTATTGTTTGTTTTGCAATGCTGTACTGTGTGGCTATAAGATATTTTTGATGTTTTTGACACCCCTATAATGCTTATATTAACACAAATTATGCCGTTAATCTACATGTCTTGCATGGTTCATAATATATTGTGTATTTTTTGCCCTTATTTGTGAAGTGTTGTAATCATTGTAATGTGATTTTTTGAACTGTGATAATTTTGCCTTATTTATTTTAGTCTATTCAAAAATATATTTGGAGTTGTGGTTGTTTGCCCATTGTACTTGAAATGTACAAATATATATAATTTTTTTTAAATTAAAACTTTGATCACCAAGAACCACTCCTTCTGTTGAATCATCCACAAAACTAAACACTACAAACTCCTAAGATCTAGGAGATGGATCAACCATCGATAACTACGATAGAACTCTTCAACCTCTCGGCTCACGGTGGACGCCCGACGCCAACGCCGGGAAGTTAGACTACCCATTCAACTCGAAAGCTTTAATTTCTCATACTGGGTCTGTGTCACTTCTTGCATTTGTTAGCTTTCTGCTACGTGTTGTTGTTCTGATCTGATCAGATCCAGATCTGTTGTCCGTATCGAGAGAGGTGTTAAATGTTCACCTTTCACTGTTTGTTTGTAAAATTCACTATTCTGTCTATTTTACTTGGTGACTCTTAGAGTCCCTAACTGATCATCATGGGAAAAGTTGCTGTTGCTGATGAACAGCTCTGGACTTACTGTAAACAGTATAATCCGTCGAAAGGTTATGTTATTGGGTTGATTATTGGCCAGGTTAGTTTAAATTGTAAATGTCAGTGTTTGTCACATGCTCACACTGTCTGCCCCTCTAAAAACACAACTTTTTAAACATTTTATCGTTTAGTGTGAATTTTATGGAAGCCTATGCTTATATGCTATATTAATATGGTTCCCAGTTCCATATGCTAAGATGTCTAAACAGACTATTTGTTGACAGCCATCTCAGGCAGCTGATTACATTGTACACCTGGCTCGAATACCTCCTCCTGACATTCACAACAATACCAAATGTGAAGACAGTGATGAGAAGCTGAAAGATGTTTCTGGATTGCCACTGTCAGAAATTAAAGAGTCCTGGGTAGCAGCTCAAGCTCTTGATGTAAGGGTCTCTCAGTTGTATGTGTTTTTTGTTTCCTTCTTTTGCCGATTTTGTTTGTTTGAATGAGGCTTGGTTCAATAGGTTACAAGAATGCTCCCTGGCGGTATTTGGGTCCTTGGTCTTTTTCTTATTGGTTCTGCTGATTGTTTTGAGAATCAGCAAAGCTCCTCTCGTCTTCGCACAATTCTCCGGCATGTCCATTCGGAATTAAAAAAGAATCCTTCCCTCTATGGAGACAGTCCGTCTGAAAAACTTCTACTTCACATGAACTTTCAAAAAAATGTGTAAGTTGATATCTATTTTTGCCTCTTATTCATGTTTAAAGTAGGTGTACCACTAAATCATATTTTTGTACTACAGGATAGCTTGCCGGAGTGTTGATGTGAATGGTTCGGCAGCTTTCAGACAAATGGAGTGGAAATTCCAGAAAAGTCCTGTTGTTTGGACACAAATTGAAACTATTCTAGATTTAAATTATGTGAAGTATTTGAGTAAGACAGATACTTCCAAACAGCTCAAAAATCAACTTCAAGTGCGTCAAAATAAATAAAGTATCCGTGGTTTAGTGGGAAAACGTTCAATGGTATTATAATGAATGTCTGATTCTTTACAGGTAATTTTGGATCCAGTCAGTGACCAGATCAACAATTCCATTTGCACTCTCTCAAATGAATTGCTCGAACCTGAGGAGCAGGTTGATAGTATCTTCAAGAAACGCAAAGGAAAAACTCATAAGAAAAGTAAAGGTCTCACAGAAGATGAACCCAAGTCTATTACTGCAAATCTATACATGCCTATGACAGGAGCAGATTTGAAACCATCATCTGATATGGAAGTGAATAATGCCTATGGTAGCATGTATTTTACTGGTGGTCCAGTGAGTCGTGTATTTGTTCATCAAAAGGCAACTGTAGAGGAGGCATGCAAAGTAAGTTGAGACCCTTGCCTTGTCGGCTAACATTCTGCAAAATAATCTATATTTTGCATTTTGTTTTCTTTTGTTTTTCTCCAGGCTGTGAAGCAAGACTTTATCAGGTCACTCACATCTCGATTACAAATGCATGCTGACTCTCTTGTGGAAGATGAACCAAGTCCACTAGAAGGTATTTTAATCAATCCAATCGAACCAATCAAGTCAATCAATCAATCACGCATATATCTGGTATATCCTTTAACTTTTCAGATCTGGAAACTGTTCATGAGCCTCCTAGAAGGGTCATGATCAAACTTCCATTCACCTCAGTAACATTTTCTGATTATCTTTTCCCTGGTGAGGGTCCAGAGGAAGCACTTGTTTCATCTAAAGATTTGTTAGATTTAACATTAGAATTGGAAGATGTGGAAACAGATTTGGAAGTACATTCAGGTAAGTAGAACTGACTCCTCAACCCTAATCCAGTAAATCAGCATAGTTGATACTTTCTTTGAAGAGATATTCTTATTTTCAGAGAGTGCGACAGAACAGTGGAGTAATCAACAGACTGACGGGTTTAGTTCTGATCTTACAACAACTGAAGAGAAAGGCAATTACGGTATTTTTTTAGCACTGGGTGCCTTCTTAGTATGCCTCATTGCCTATCTTATCCAAATGAACCGGTGACTTTTAACAAGATTTTATCATTTTATAGGCATCAGGGTATTTGGCAATGTGTACAAACATTCCAAATGAATTAACTGTAATCAATATATTTTGTTTTTCACACCAAATGGTGATGATTTACTATCTAAAACATAAGAATATAACTTTCCCTTCTTAACCAACCACAAAGCGGAATTTCGAATAACATTCCTGCCGCTTGCTACTAGACCGGTGTCTGATCTCCTGGACAGATGTCGGTTGGGTTGCCTACCACTCGGCGCCCGCCATAAGGGCAGAACAGTCGGTGGGGCTCCCGACTGGCTCTGCCCGACCAGTGCCGAGCACGCATAGCTCTCGAGCTTGCGCCGAGCCACGCGTCGCGGGCCGTGCTTGCGGGCAACCAGTTGCGCCCAGGTGAGTGGTCCGCACGGACTGCCTCGCGCCGGCGCTAGCTGGAGCTCACCGGCCGCTAGCCGGCTGATCGCGTGTGTAACCGCGCGTGAAAGCTCTCTCTCGCTACCGCGACCCTCAAGGCCTCCTCGGGGGCTACAGCGGGGCGGAGAGGGGAGGGCTCCTCGGTCAGGAGGGGATCCCGAGCTCCCGAGCCTCTGGAGCCGGTGTGGCCGCCAGTCCCGACGGAGCTGTTGCAGCGGAGACTTGTGGGAGAAGCCGCGGCGGCCACCCTCACTTCGGCCACAGCGCCACCGGCCAGGCCTTCCCGGCCCGCGGGAAGGACACCGATGTGACCGGTGTGTTGTGGACGGCCTAGGCCCCAGGCCCCACCCTGCACCCTGCACCCTGCACGTGCCCTGCAACCAGCGGCCTGGCCCGGGCCGCCGGCGCCAGCTCCGCCAGCTCCAGACCCACAGCTGGGAGGGACTTTCCCTCTCTGGCAAGTGTTGAGGCACTCACCGGCAGCGGTACCCGACCACAGCCGGGCTTAAAGCCGCCCGCCACGCCACGCCGCGCCGCGCCGCACCGGCCAGCATGGAGCCGCTCGAAGGGGCGCGGAGAAATGGCGAGCGGAATGGCACCAAGAACGGCAACAGGTGAGTCCGGCCCGGCCTTTAGGCCCGGCCTGCGGCCTTTTGGGCCCGCCCGCTTCGCACGCCCGCGCCCGCCGCTCCTACCGGCCTTGGCGTTCCCCGGGCCCTGACGGTTTTCATCTGACGATATTATTTTTTGTGATGTGGGGTATCGCTCGTAAACCTACCGGGTGGGCGGGGTCGGTCGTTGCTGCGTCGTGCTTTTCATTGAAGTCCGCACTGTACCGCCGCCTTCCCATTCTCGGCCCCATGAGGGACCGTGACAACCGTGACCATCGCGGTGACCATTCGTGGCGGTTGGAAGCGTTGATAGATGTTGGTGGTCCGCCCGCCCCGCGCTCGCCGCGTTACAAAATGACAGGACACCTCGGCGTAAAGCCGCGCTCACCGACCTGTGCGCCTAAAAAAATAGGTTTGCCAAGCTATTCAATTTAGCTGAACAATTTAACAACCGTGCAAAATAAAATGCTGGATTAAAAAAAAAGTAGCTGTTCATCTAAGTGGCATGAGCTGCACGCTCACACATGTGATAGACATGGATTACTTGGCAGCTTATAACAAATTGCACTGGTGCTAAACAGATTAGCCGGCTGAACCGTCAATTTTTATACCCGATGTTGAAAAATCAGCAGAGACTCGATTTTTATTTTCTCCCGCGTGTGACCTAAGCTGCCCCATTTAGTGTAGCCCTGCTCTTTGCAGACGACAGCCTCGCGGCCGGCCGGAGCCCGAGGCCAGGGGGCAAAGAGGAATGCGAGGGAGAAAGGAGAAGTCAAGGAGTCCCTGCGGCCCCTGCTGCACGCCGCCGCGGCGCGACGCCTCGACGCGCCGGCGCCTTTGCCTTGTCGAGGAATGTATTCACGGGCGAGTCGGTATGGCACGGAAAGTCGCCCGGTAGCATTTATTAGTCGTCTTTACTGTGTGGGCGCTTAGGGATCACCCAGAAAGTTCGTCCATATTTCTCGGATTTATTCGGCAGGTTACAGAAGCTCGGCGCCTGCAATATTGAGGGTAGGCCACCCCGCCCTACACACATGCATCGCATGCAAGATGTTGCCTACCCCCCAGGCGCTATCAGAGCTCTCAAGGGCTGAACTTCGCAGGTTCGCAACGGACGAGAATGGCGGACGAACTTTCTGGATGATCCCTTATTCCGGTGCTCATGGTAGTGCTTCGGGCGGGAGGCCACATCCCTGCTTCTTTTGCAGTCCCACCCGCTGCCAACCTCACCTCACCGCTTGAAAAAAAAATGAACGAACGAAAGCAACACTGCGTCCGTGTGTTGTGGTGCGTTTACTGGACCGTGCTCAGTCCAGCGCGAGCGCGTCCCCAAAACCAGAAGGTCAAGGTTATGCGCAAGTTTCCGGGGAATGACCGTAATTCGACATCGGTGACTCCAATGACAGAAGCAATTTTGTTTTGAGGGGGGGGGGCATGCCCCCGTTTATTGCCGAGTGCCCTTATCCCAGGTGAGGGTTCATCCGGTCTGTCCGAGTATTCGTCCGGGTATTGGCCCGGTACCCGGGCTAACACAGTTCTACCAGGCGACCAGGTCCCAGGTCCCCACCTGGCAAAACTGGTTAATCGGGTTCGCAGGTGTTTAATTATGAGTACGCGAGTAGAATTTTAAAACCCTACTCGCGGATTGCGTACGGATCGAAGGGGTGGGGTGGGGGCGGTGGAGACGCCTTCATCCCTCATCCCGTCTTCCTCCTTCGCTCTTGGGACTATCCCATAAATGTGCGCCAACTCCGTCAAGGTGAGGGCGCTCCTTTCGGCTGTGACCCAACGTGCAGAAATGGTCCGATTTCTTCACCGAGCACGGAGTGCGAGCTACGCTAATGGCTCATAGCATCGAGTGGCCAGCGGACGGCCAAATCTATCAGAAAACGATCCCGGGGAGGGGGGGGGGGAAGCTATGGTCCGGTTCCGGTGCGAGCATTTCACTATCACTTAGTCTTTTTTGGACGATTTGGGAGTACAGCCCCCCACCCGCTGCAGGGCCCACAAAAATAAAATTAAAACTCTATCAACTCCTTGCCGAATTTTAATTTTACCCGTAGCTTTTTTTTAATGGGGTTTGTTTTCGTTACATTGTTAACAAAAATCGTTAAGGTTTTGTGACAGTCCGTCGGTTGCTGTTCGACTTGAACGATTAGCGCGGGTTTCTAATCGTGTTTTTGAACTCCTCAGTCAAGTTTACTAAATTTGCTGATTTTAAATGTACCTCTTGTGGGCGAATGTATCAATAGGCCAGGAAGTGGGTTGGACAGTTTTCAGATGAATCTGAATCTACACCTATCGCGGTGGTGGCGAGCCGACGGCTGGTCGTCAACATAAGAGGTAGAGAAAGGAGTATAATAGTGCGCGCACGTCGCTTTTAGTCGGTCACCGATGATTCGACGCGGTGGGGCTCGGGCCGGGCGGGTTACATTATAGAAGCTTGCAGAGGTTTGCACATTTGGCGTGCCCGCCTGTTTGTTTGTTTATTTAATTATTAGTGCGTATGTGTGTGTGTGCAGGTGAGCGCGCGCACGGCCGTGATTCTCACCCAACGTTCCTGCTTTTCTCGCATAATCAATAAGTAACCGCCTTTTTTAGGGGCAAAAAAGAGTAGAATTGCAAGCACACAAACTCACTTTATAAGTGTGTACTTAAAATAGTACACGCATAAAATGTGTACTTACCATATTACATTCTTCCGTGTGTTTAAGTTACCTTAGGGAAAGTACACACTTCTCTGTGGGTACTATGGTAAGTACACACTGTACAGTGTGAGTACTGTATACTGTATACTAGAGTGTATACACTCTTCCTTGTGTGTGATATGGCAAATACATACTTATTCGGAGCGGGCACTGCGACGGCGATGGCAGCGAGGGTGACTTGACATTAGACTTGAGAGAACTAGGCCACAAACGACCCAAGCCCAACGGCTGCGAGAGGGTGATCCCCAAACGACACACGTCAACCCTCAGCACTCTGGCTCACTTTGCATAGATACTATTGGAACCTGACGCGCGGCGGACGGCTCGCGTCACGCGCGCCTTGACAAGCGTTTTCCTGGTGCTGTTCGAGTGGAAGACCCTCCTGAAGGCTGAGAGGGGGACCCCCCGGGGGAGGGGG